TCAATTTGCCAATTTTAGCAATAATAATAAATAGTCCGAAATATTCAGCAGCTTAAATAGTATGTAATATTAGAATATGATTCTCGCTGAATCAATCAGTCAATCAGTAGAGTAAACCATCGAGCAACTGTTCTCCACTCCGTTGCTTTAGGCAGTAATTGCAGTAAACGTTTGCTGTTACTGAAATTAATATCCCTTATGCAAAGCATATTTTTAGCTTCGTTTTGGGCTAACTTTGTATTTTTCGATTCATTACTTATCATTAAACATTTATGAATAGCTAACTTTCAATTTGCTTATTTTATTAAAAAAGCCAGAAAGTACTTCTTATGCTATGTTTGTATTATCTCTGGCTTAAACGAATAAGTTATTTTTGGTCAATTAATTTTCACGTGTAATCACTGTATTATTTTAGTACTGTTTAATAAGTAAATCAATTCACACTACAATAATTATCATATTTAAATATAATATAAGCATACAAAAGGTCATTCATTTCAGATATTAAATTTATGCCTTTTTAGTACACACAAATTGGGACTAAATTAAGACTGCACTGAAAATGCAGATAAATTACGACTGAAAGGTCAGCCTTGACAAAGTGAAACAGAGATAATTGCAAATAATTTTTTGGGTATGACAATTGCTTTTTTTCGGTCTTTTACATTCATTTTAAGTTTATTTACCTTTGCTGAAATTCACTAGATTATTCTACTTTTTCACAACAAATTACTTACACTAAGTTAACTATATGATATCTACAGTACTCAGTCGTCTTAATTATTTTTGCGCCCTCGGCATTCTACAATTTAATTTTGAATTTATTTATTTATCCATTTTTGTTGCTATGATTTTATACTTTGTACTGTTCAATACATATATTTTGTTTGAAATTATTCACAAAATAATTTTGATAAAACATTTACAGTTTTGTTTTTAAAAAAAATTAATTTTTCGTATTTTTTGCATAATCTCATAATTACTTTGACATAATTTTTGTATTAATTTCAACAGTCAGCTAATTAATAATTACGTGAAATTAACAAAATATTTTATGATATTTTATGCTTTTATTGACGTAAGTACGCATATACTTATTTAGTTATTATGCTTGGTATTAAAATACTAAAGTGATATTGCAGATAGCAAGCAATTTAAAGGTTCCATCTTGTTTTGTTGTGCTGCTCAAAAGATCCTATGGGATTAGGCACGGGAGCAGGTGACAATTCAGACTTGCGTGATGATCAATCCAATAACTCCACTTGCTATTATAACATTCTTGGGGTCACACGCAATGCTGATGACACTGACATCCGGAAAGCGTATGTTTTGCCATATAGTTCAATTGCTTTCACAAAAAAGTCCTAAATATAATTTGAAATATTTTTTCAATACGATTATATGCAAATTAAAATTAGACTTAAGCAAACTTATCAACTTTTTTACTTTTTGCTTGAAAAATGTTTTCATCTTTGATTCTTGCATTACAACATGTCAAATTAAAGTATCTATATTTTTTTTGCTTTATTAAAAATATTATTTTGCAAGCGTTCACGTGAAAATATAAATTTAAAACATTGCTTGGAATTTTAATAGTTAACTAATAAAAATAAAATAGAAAAAAAATTCTTATCTGCAGATATTATATTTTTTCTAAAAATGCAACCAAATTTATTCATAAATAACCTTTAACCTCAAAAATTAGAAAATATAACTTTTCTGATTATACTTTATTTATCTTAAGTAATACAATAAAATTATTTCATATATACATATATATATGTATATGTATAAGAATTTTTGTTGTAATTGTTATTATTTCAAACAAATAATAACAGTAATACTTTTAACAGTGCACTGTCAGGCGTTATTTTGGTGTACTCAAAAATTTTTTAATCCAAATACTGAGTATATATATAAAGAAATATTCTATACATACATACATACATACGTACATACATATATAAATGTGCCATTAAGAGGAAGGCACAGTTTAAGATTTACCAGCGATAGACTGATTGTAAGTTAGAATTTGAAAAGAAATATAAAACCTGTTGTGGAAATTTTTGAGAAAACTATTCAAATTTACCAATTTTTTGTTCAAGTAATTCGTGCATTTTACAAATTAATCATCACTTTTAGAATGAAAAAGTATCACAAAAATTTGCAGCACAAAAGTATCATTACGAATTAATTCATTTATTTCATTTAGTAAATAATCAAGCTTTTTAATATGCAAATTTTATTTGTACTAATTATTTTTGCATATTTATTCACTATTTATTTATATTTAATCAAATTTTATTTACATTAATCACTTTTACATATTTATTCACAATGTTCAGATTTTAAAAAAGTTTAATTCATTTTAATTGTATTCAAAGATCAAAATAAGAAATTGAAAAAATATCATTTTTAATTGAATTAAGCAAATATTATGCAAATGCAACGGTAAATAATTGTGAATCTTTTTATTCAGTGAAAAGTCAAATGCGCAAAAAATAGTTTGACCTTCATTTATCTCTTTTTATTTTGACCCTAATGACATATACAAATAAACAACGAATTATTTTCATATTTGAGAAATACTTTTTAGAAATAATCAAATTTATTTATTAAAACTAGTTAATTCATAAATTTTGTCAGCCATTGACAATAAGGAAGGATTGCAGTGGACATATTTTATGCAGTAAAAATATCTTAAAAAATATAAACTTCAAGTTTTTTACAATTTTCATATTTTTTATAAGCTTAGCAGAAGCAAAGTCAAATTTTTCCGCTGTGTAACAGTAAAGTTTTCAAAATTCATCAAAAAATTAATTTGTTATTTTTTTACATCACATGCGTGAAGTAATTCGATAAGAAATTTGTTCTGAAATTTTTATTTTTTGGATTTTAGATGATATTTTTCAGGCAAACATAATTTCAAATTAAAACTATTGTAGCAAATAATGTAATGAGAATAATCGCAATTCAATTCACTCAAACATCGCTTATTTTTATGGCACTCATTTAATCTTAAATAATATTACAGTAATTGACCTCAACATGATATTGACCTTTACATGAATGATATTGAATTTTAAATAATTACTGTGAGAAAAATCGATTTAAACAAATTATTTTAATGATAGATATCGAAAACTCGCGTTACAATGGCATCCGGACAAAAATCCGAGTAATAATCAAGTAGCAGAGCAAAAGTTTAAGCGTATAGCTCAAGCTTATGAAGTACTATCTGATCGTAAGTTTTTAAGTTTTACAAAAAATTTGCCACCTTTTGTAGTATATTTTGAAATCATTTATAAATTTATGAAGTTTTTAATTGAATTTCAAATTTTTATAGTATATTTATTACTAATTTTTAATCTGTTTAGATTATAATTTGAATAGCTGAAAATCAAGAAAAAATAGAATAAAATAATAATTTAATTTAAAAAAAATACATAAAAGAATATTCTTATCGTGAATTTATTTTTTACATATATTATAAAAAATAAAAGTCAATTATTTTTGCATTCACAGAAAATAATTAAATGTTATTCACAGAATACTTATTAACTGCAAATATCATTTGAATAATTGTAATTTCTCTTCTTAATAATCAAATATTTAGCTAAAAAACGCAGTTCATATGATCGTTCACGTTTAATCAATTATCAACGTTATAATATGCAATCACGTAATGCATTCCATCATCACCGATTCCGCTCACCGTTTGATATTTTCTGCGAATTTTTTGACAGCTATGATCCATTTACTGTAAGTATTATTGATTTTGATTTTTATAAAAATTATTCAAATAATTATAATTTATCAGAAACATTTCAGGATTTTATGATGAATGATGACATGCATTTTCCAACGTCTCGTTTCAGGCCACGATCTGATAGCGTTGATTCGTTTTACAGAAGAAATGGTTTGTTTTTATGCTAATTAATTTCTTTTATTTTTTATTTTTGATAAATAAATATGAAACTTTTTGCTAGCAAATTGCCATTCATTGTAGAAAGACGAAGAACAACATTTGCTACAAGAACGCCTTTTGATGATAAAAGTGATAACGAAAATGATTGGTTAGTAATTTTTGATTTTGCGTAAAATTTTAGTTAAAACTTGTTTTATTTTGATTTTTTCTTTGTATTTTTATTAGTGATTTAATATTAATTATTAATTTTATGATTAATTTTTGAATATTCAGATAATAATACTTTGAATATTACCTTAACTTGCAGCACTTTTTCATCCGTGATACGCTTTTCATCTGGAGAGCCAGGAAAGAATCCTTGCAGTCAGAAAATAACAACAAGCACTAAAATTATTGATGGTGTCAAAGTTGTCACTAAAAAGTTTGTTTTGATTTTTAGCTCTGTAAAATTTATTTGCAAAGAATAGTAATGTATACTGCTTCTTGACAAAATATTAGATTTGATCTTACCCATTAAATCCACCTGGATAAGATCAAATCTGTTAAATGGATAGATCAAATCTTATCCATTTAATAATTATCAGATCATATTTAATGCATTATTGCTAAGCGTATGGAATTTGATAACTTAAAGCATCTAACTGATTAATTTTTACATGCTGCAGAATTGAATCAGAAGGTAAAGAAACAGTTGAAGTTATCGAAAATGGCGTATTAAAGTCATGTGTTGTCAATGGAAATACTGTCCACAAGAGTACTACATAAAATTATGCTATATAAAGTAAGTAAAACACGTGAGATTCTTAATTTTTCACGTAGGATTAATTTTTAATCTGTTATGCTAAATTTTACATGAAATTAAAAATTTTTTTCCTAATATGGACATTAATTTTCATCAATCTCATTATGATGATAAAAACTTTTAGTATAGTTATCGTCCTCACTGATTCTTCTGAATTCCCATGCTATGTCAAGTTATTGCTATCAACGTTATGGTTATTCTATGCATTGCATTATGTCAACCAAAACTTATTGATCTAGGAAAATCAATAAAAAAACACAAATTGAAGTATTTAATTTGTGTTTATTATTGTATAATTAATTTGATTATTACTAATATATGTAATAATCATTTAGTTATTAAAATTTATACTGCAGTCTAAAATTTGTTGAAAAAAGCTCCTCATGAGAGTACACTGATCAAATTTATTGCTAATCTGCAATTTTTGAGGGATCAACTTTTTTTTTTGAAAGCATTTTAGCTGATTGAAAATTGATACTTCCAATAATGCAATAGCTTTATGATTACTTCAACTTGCTATTTCACACCACAAAGTTGTTAGGTTTAATTTTTGTTGATATTACTGATAATGTGTCAATTTTCATCGTCATCATCGATATTGCTGATCCGACAATAGCCGAATATTGTATGTGAAGTAAAGAATAAATATTTTTGTGTTATTTTTTTGCATAATTAAACTTGTTTGATTCTTTTTTTCACGTAAATATGAAGAAAGTTTAGAATCTACCCTAAAATTGATCATTCCAATTTTGCAATGTTCTGATTTCAAATAAAGTCATTTTCAAACTACCGCATTATTTGTTCTTCTTCATTTGCATAATTTCATTTGTTTATTTTATTTTATTTTGTTAATATAAATTTGAATGATTTTTGTCTTTGCTAACAATTTTGTAAGTTTTGAGGGATAAAAATATTCTTTTTGCTGCTGCAACATTGCATTTTATCTGATAAAAATTTGTTGAAAATTAAAAATTTTGTAAAAAATAATGCTTGAAATACGTAAATGTATAAAATTTAATATTTTTCAATTACAAAAGTTTGTTTTGAAATTTTTATAAATTAAATTTATTAATTTGGTAAGCTTAAAAAGTTAATCACAAATGCGTGAAGTTTTAAGCTTATTTTTTGCAGGATTGGTAATGAAATAGTTGCTTACGTATAATTAGAAATACAATTAGACTAACTTTTTGATTTATTTCAGTTTACAAAGTTAACCAAAAACTATTACTGTACCAGATGTAGCAGTAATAATTTAGTTCAATTAAAGTATGCAAAATCCCAAATGTACCAGTAATCTAGTTCGATCAAAGTATGCAGAATCATTGATTTTTTACCAAATGTTGCAGTAATCTAACAATCAGTTAACGATCAATTTGAAGTGAAAGATTGAATTGATAATTCATTAATGTACTGATGATAATACTGATAAATTTAATCACATTTAGGAAACATTATCGCAAATAAAAATTACAATTTTGTTCACTTTTTAGTTCATGAAAAATAATCAGTTATGAAGTAAAAAGCTTGCAAGCAATTTTATTATCAACAATGCTTTTAATTTATATGCGTACTACTTTTTGTATGAAAAAATCAAATGATCGAAAATAGATATCGAAAAAAATGCAATCTTTGAGACAGATTAAAAACTTAATCGAAAATTGATAATTATAAAATTAGCAACAGTTCCGATCACCGAAATCAGCAGGTCGTACTTGAAATGCTCGATTCCAGTCATCATCAGGTGGACGACCACGATAACGACGTGAAACAAGAACTAGCGGTCGTTTTACCATTTGTGCTGGGGATTCATTCATCATTAAAGCTAGTCGTAAATTCCATATCTAGATTAGCTGCATTAGACAATAACTATTATTAACTTATCGATACAAAATAATTCTAATTATTGAAAAAATCAGCAATGTTTTCGAGTTTAACTTAAACTAATAGATTAGCATTCATAAATTATGCATAAAATATGTTTAAAACATTTAAATGGTCTGATTTAACTTTTCACTTTCAAGATATATTTAAAAATTAATTAATATACTGCTATCATTGCTACATGTGATAAAGTAATTCAAATATTTATTTTTTACGATTGAAAATTTAAAATTTTAAAGTACGATTTTAATAGAGTAAATATTTAAGGTAATAAAAATGGAACATATAAGTAAGCGTGAAGAAGTAATAGACAAACTTGTCCTCGAAGTACTCGTAACTGACTATATTTCAAAAAACGATTCACATTACGATCATATTTAAATAAGATAGTAACATCATCACAGAGACTCTGTACAAACTGTGGAGTTAATAACTGTAACAAATGCATTCTCAATTCTTCATTCCATGGCTGAAAACAAAACTTTTAAGTGATTATTTGTTGCAGCAAAAATATGCAAATTTTCTCCGATAAACTATGAGATGTAATTTTTTGTCTTCCAAAAAAACATCTATAAAATTATTTCATGCTTAGATTCAGAGTTATCATCTTGACTTGCCACAATTAAATACTATAAGTTAGAGATGAATGAATTATTCAATCGGCAAAAATTTGTCATTTTTTTAAAAATAATTCTGAAATTACTTTTTTTTAATTGAAATTTT